AATCCCGCAAAGCTGTTCTAACATATTTTGATAACACCAAATTACACGTGCGTGCCAGATGCTTAAGAAAAACACATTTCTAAGCGTTATGCTAGAGACCTTGTTGAAATTACTTCACGTGAATATGACTATCAGAAACACGAGGTGGTATTTGCCTTTGGGGAGACCTGTCAAGTTAATCCTGTAATTTATTTAAATTTTCTAGTAAAACAGGAAATATTACCTAAAATAATGCCTCTCCGAAAGTCGCTGATATAGATACATAATTGTATAAAATGGCCACATCAAATTAAAAAAAAAATGCATACAATTAGAAAGTAACAATTTTACCGAAAAACAAAATACTTCGAGTATCAAAAATTGTAAATAAAGTCACGCACGCACACACACATATATAATAACATTTCTATATCATTCAAAGCTTGTTGTTTGTTTTAGAGCAAAGCCACACATTGGGCTATCTGCTGTGTCCACAGCGGGGAATCGAGCCCCAGATTTTAGCGTTTTACGTCAGTAGAGCTACCGCTGTCCCACCAGGAGACACAAATGTGGTGAGAATAAAGCAGCCTTACTTAGGAACTACTAATAGTTTTCGGGTGTGCAGAGTAAATTAGAAAAAGAAGAGAAAACAAAACTGAAAAGGAATTTATTGAAGAAAGTATAGTACTAAAAATGAACAATCAATTTGGTTGAAACCGTAATATACCACATGATTATATAACTTCCATAATAGAGCCCAATGGTAAGAAATCCTTTATCTTATACTAATAAGAATGTTACTGTTTGCTAGGCATTTTAAACATCTCGTCTCAATCTATCCACTATTTCAATAGTGCGTAATTATGCTTGAACAATATAATGTACTTAATATTCCACCAAAAGTTATCTAATGTGTTACTTGCACGTTTTGCAATTAAATTGTTTGTTTGTAGGTAGGCACAAAGCTGCACAATGGGCTATCTGTGCTCTGCCCACCACGGGTATGAAACCCGGTTTCTAGCGTTGTAAGTTCGCAGACGTGCCGCTGTGCCACTGGGGGGGACTTGCAATTAAAACACTTAATATATGTAATAAAACAATAGAGGATTCCAGGTTATTAGCAATACGACGATATTAGCAATAAGTTCACCAGTTACTCTTGGTGAACTTCTTTTATTAAAATATTATACGACGTTTTAGCGAAATAATCGAACTTCATTAAGGACACTTTAAAGTATTTATCGACATAAACTGGAAATTTTCTGTTTAAATATATATATATATATGTATATCACGTATGAAAAACGCTAGGCCTAAATTTTAAGCACTGCACATAAAGGTTT